GTGAAGACATACCACATATGTGGTGTGATGCCCTATTCTGATCAGATCACTCCATGATAGCTGTTCTGAATCAGTTCTGAATCTAAAAGTCTGACTAGTTGTACAGCAAGTACTGGGTTGTACGGAAAGTATTGGTATTCGAAAGGTAGCAATGGTGGACTAGTAGTGGAATACTCGGAATGCCACACTATCTACACGCCATGTACACCCAGATCTTAATACTAAGTTTAAACTAATCTAGAGGAAGACAGGTTGTTTTCAACCACGTGTGTTGGGAACCTATAGATGGCGCAAAACATCCCATCCCCCAAGTGGTCTATAGATGGTGCATTTCAAAAATTAGCGCCTTCCATTTTCACAATGGAGTAACTTAGATGTAAGGCAAGCAACGGATCGTCACTGTCATCAGTGTCTGTGCGGGTGAAGCCGCCAAACAATGCCATTGCCCGCGCCAGCCCGAATGCCAAGTTAAGTGTGGAAAAGCAAGAACGCAAAAAGTTTGCTAAAAAACCTTTGAACATCTTAGATGGCATCTAGGGATGGCTTTTGGACATATTCTGACATGTACTGAGATGATGATTTGAACCTTTCCACTCAGAGCTTCCGTCATTTGAACCTTGGTTAGCGGAAGGAACTTTGTCGACTTTTCGTTCTTGCGCGCTTGGAGGTTTGGAGGGGTGGGGGAGGTGGCGGTGGTGGCAGTGGTAGGGGGTAGCGGAGTAGCATTGGTGAAGATGTGTGCGCGGGTCGCTTGGGTGGTGATGGTGGTGGCGGTGGTGGGGGTGGTGGCAAGCGTCGCTTATGTGGCTGTGATTGTCCCGAAGCACTGAGTTGTGGAGGGGGCGGTGGTGCTGGGAGTGCAAGTTTGGGAGTGGGGCGGGCACTATGCTGCTCGTCTTTCCTTTTTATTCGCACTGTGCGGCGTACCTTGACCCTAACCCGCTTTGTGGCTGAACGCTTCATTGACGCAAAGCCCAAAGCCCAAATTATATGGAAAACAGTGAGCGGAAGGGAACATATTCCTACCCAAAAAGTGTTGAGGGTTCAATCTGAAGCCAGAATGGCAAAGAGGAATCATAGGTGGGTCATTAAGACATTTAAAACTGGGAGTATGGCGCAACCATACAATATATAACCACACATTTGTGAGGTTCATCTCATTGCTGCTGTTTGCATTTTTATTTCTATTGAAAACCCGCCACATGCTCAAATAAGCAGCGCGCATACACACGTACACCAACGACATCCAACAACCATGTTAAAAAGTCTTATGTTAATGGGTGCATGGGCCTGTAACCCCAAAATGGATGGTTATTTTTATATATAGTTCTGGGGATTTTATATATAGTTCTGAAGCATTTTATATATAGTTCGGAGAATTTTATATATAGTTCTGAAAGCCAAAATCTGTTTGACAGAAACCCAACATAAAGAGGCCCATGCACCCAACAATATATGTCAGTTAAGAATCCATATTTGGTGGTTATAAATCCCCATTGTTGCTGAACAAGATCCTCAGTTTTCACGGCGAAATCCCAATTTCTGTTGGTAACATGGCAAAATCCCAGTTTTCATGGCTAAATGGTCCCTTATTTTTGAATTTTGTTTGATGCTTGTGGGCTCCCCAAGCTCCCCCAGGTGCAGCTGCAGGGGCTGTAGTTGTTGCGTGCCTCCGGATTGGCCTTGGCGGCCAACAACACTCGCACCACAGCCTCGTGGCCTGGAATCAAGCTCCAAAAAAGTCCAAGGGGAACCCCCAAAAACATAGCTGAGTATAGCTAAGTCAGCTATGTTCAGAGGAAACATGCTGATTTCATGGGGTTTTCTTAGCTAAGTTCATTTAATTTGTCCACAAAAAAGGCCAACTGGGATCTATTGGAGATATCTCGAAGTAGTTGGATGGGTGAATATTAATACCAATAACTTATAAGTTTGGGTCTCCTTCCGGTAGGTTTCTGGGTATTTTCCACCACGGACAATTGTGGTTTCAACATGTTTTAACGGTGAATTCGGGAAATTAAAATTGATGATTTCAATTCTGAATTTACCCTTGTGATCCAATTCTGGGATAGGGATAGGACATGGGATGTATATGGGAATCCTGTGATCTCGTGTGTATCGTGTGATATCTTTGGGGCGAAGCCCGGGCCCAATCTGGCTGGAACATCCCCATCTGAGGAGGTAGGGATCATACCATGCAATCGCGTGAATGATTGTACATGCATATCACAAAATAAACATATATGAGCAATCTCGACAACCCTAGGTTCACGGAAAGGACATCCACAAATTTGGGAAGGTCCCATCGCTTACCACACGTGTGTACAATAATGATATATGGCAAACTTGGGGGGTATCGCTTGCAGGAAACTGCTACATATATATATATATATATATGTGTATATATAATTCACAGAAATCAATGTCCAATTTGGGTATCGCCAATGTGGATATTGGAGAAATACAATGACATAACCTTGACAAGGGGTATCGCTAATTTGGGAAGGTCCCATCGCTTACCGGCTTACCGTGCGTTTTAACAATTTCCATCAATTTCCATAAACCAATGTCCGTCCAATACATATTTAGTATTGCCGTGTTTTTTTTTTGCGGTGGCTCATATATATATATAATATATTACATACATATCATATTATATATATGTCATGATATATATATATATAGATAGTATATATATATAAATAATAGCATATATAAAGTGTGTATATATATATATGACTTTGCCCCTCTGCGACTGGGCTAGTCTTTTTCAAGGGATCATCCCAGGGGAGGTGACTTGATCAACAGGAAACCAAGAATCTTGAAAATCGAAACCCTATTCTTTGTTCGGATATGCCTAATATAGGATGATTGTATCATTATTATTGTAATTATATGAATGTATAATTAAATGTATTTCGTTGTATTTCATATCCTGGTATAGCTTGTATCATCTTGTATCATCCTGTACCCGTGGTCATGATATGCGGGTTCTTGGTCGTTATATATGAACTTGTCATGGTGAAATTCACATGTTATCCTTGCATGAATCTGTGTTTGATTTGTGCAACCCATCAGCCCACTTTGAGCGGTGGGCTAGTAGTGTTTGAACTCAGTTCTAAATGCGAGAACCAACCGAAAGGAACTTGCAAACATGGGTTGCCTGCAGTTATGGCCCTTTACCAGTCATAAGTACTTATAACCCCATTTATTGAATGTATAATCCCATAGAAATAACCAGTTATAACTGATAAATGGCCATAACTGTGTCATGTGGGAGAGTCTGTCTGACAGGGCTGCGCTTCTGCCGGTCATTCAGACTGTCCGCACCTTCTTCTGCCGCCAGATGGAGCGGAGTGTTCCCTTCTTCTGGATCCTGGTGCCCCATGGTGCCCCGAGGGGCCTGGGACCTTGAAAAAAGTTGGGCCTGGGATTTGGATTTACCAGCATATGACTATGGGTCAAAACCCTGGTACCTAGTGAACCCCAAAATAGCTGGTAAATGGATGTTCATCCCACTAAAAATGTATCTATAGGTATTGACCCATACCCATATGTTTTCATCATGAATCTCAATCCACATAAGTTGAATCTTGGTGGTGAATATTTGGTGAATCCAGGATTCAAAGGATCTAGACCTCTTGTGTTTTTTTTTACTGGGCAATAACTCGCGCTCCATCCCACCAAACAAACGACTGCAAAACAAATAGAAACCAACCAGCGTGCTTTTGAACCAGTGTTTACTTTTGGATCCATTGGTCCATTACTCATTTTGATATAACCAAAGCATACCAAAGCCAAGTTGACAAATTTCCAAAGTGGTCTTGTTGGCGGTTTCAACCCCTCTGAACAATATTAGCCAGTTGTGGGATTTTGATTCCCAATAGATGGAAAAAAAACAATGTTTTAAACCACCAACCAGTGGTATTTTGGTCCTGAAAGTTCACATGCATGGCATAGCTTCCGAGAAGTTCATTGCATCCCGTAGCATCTCCCTTCTCCACCAACTTCAACAGCCTTGCCGCAGGTCCAAAGGGGAATCGATAGATCCCTCGAGGTCACCAAACCAAAATTGCTGCTGGCCCTTTCTGACCTTCGTCATGGCTGTGGGTCTGTGGGTACCCAATTTTTTTGGGACTTTCCTTCGACATTGGGATGTGATTGGGATCTCTAACACTCTCAACACCGCTGAAGCGGTCGGCTTCCATCAAGAAACTGTTGTTGCAGTTCTTGAGCATGGTCCTCATGCGCATAACCGTAACCTCAGCGCATCTCGCTGGAGTTCTCTGACAATGTTCATGTCCTATCTGATAGTGACTAAATCTGTGCTAAACTCCTACGAACAAACCATCTTGTCGCATTTTGCTTACAAGATTCATGTGCTTTCACATCGCATGTTCACTCTCAGCTTCCTATGCAAAAAAAATCAATGCTTTGGGCCTGTCTGAACATCTGGGATGCCCCATGATGCCCCTAAGTTAGCATCATGTTTGCGGGGAAAATTATAAACCATGATAAACATTGATAAACCATCAAGTCGTGGGTTAGCCATGGCTACCCAACAAACAGCACCACTTTTTGCATGCTAAGAGACAGCACAGGGAGGCGCCTTCTCCCATTGCCCCCGGATTTCGGCGCGGTTAACTCCAGCGAGCCCAATTTTGTGTCTCGCTGCGCGAGACAGTGCACATAGGTGCCACGGGCAAGGTACATGATTTTCACATTTTTCACCATCATTACTGACCTGGATGGTGGTTGACCTACCCCTCTGATGTTGGGATTAGTATTCCCAATAGATGGAAACATATATAAAAACGTTCCAAGCCACCAACCAGCCTTAAGGTTTCCTTTGAAATCTTGAAAAATGGGTATAGCAAAACACGGTCAAGTCATTAATTCATATACACAATGATACCATGTGATACCCGTGCAGGGACAGTGGGCATTTTGGACATTTAAGTGGACCATGGCCGAGACGGCCCTGGTTGCCCTTAGGGCGCCTTCTCTACTTCAAGCCTCACCGTCTGCGTCTGGGCTGCCTGGGGACGCGTTGTTTCGGAATAGCCTGGAATAACCACTATACACAGTTATGGCCCGTTATGGTCATTTACTAGTTATCGAAGGAAGTTTAGAAGTCAAACTTCCGACAATATGGACAGATGAAAAGCAAAGCAGGGCAGAGGCAGAGAGAAGAGAAAGATTAGAAGAGAGAAGAGAAGAAGAGAAAGAGTCAGAAGAAAGAAGATACAGATGCGCGAAAAGGTAAGAAAGTCGCGATTCACTGTGTTTTTCCAATGATTTGTGGCTCCGGAGGGTCGAAAAGTAGGCTCGCTAAAGCGGCGGGTGCGGAGCCAGCTGGACAGATGAGAGATGAAAAATTGCACGCCGTTGTGGCGCGAAGCGCATTTCCAAGTAAAAATGTACAAAACACACCAGGTTCGGACCACTTTTGGAAGTTGCGATGTCAAAAAAGTGCACGCCGTTGTGGCGCGAAGCACATTTCCAAGTCAAAATGTACAAAATACACCAGCTTCGGACCACTTTTGGAAGTTGAGATGTCGAAAAAGTGCACGCTGTTATGGCGCGAAGCACATTTCCAAGTCAAAATGTACAAAACACACCAGGTTCGGACCACTTTTGGAAGTTGCGATGTCGAAAAAGTGCACGCCGTTGTGGCGCGAAGCACATTTCCAAGTCCAAATGTACAAAACACACCAGGTTCGGACCACTTTTGGAAGTTGCGATGTCGAAAAAGTGCACGCCGTTTTGGGGCGAAGCACATTTCGAAGTGAAAATGTACAAAACACTACATGTTCGCGCCACTTTTGGAGGTTCAGATGTCGAAAAAGTGCACGCCGTTGTGGCGCGAAGCACATTTCGAAGTCAAAATGTACCCAGCAAGTCTAAGGGACAACTTTTTGAGGTCCTATGAGATCTCGTGGAAAGTGGTCCCAAAAGGAACATGTTCAGCATAGTTGGGACTATGTACTTTTTGGGTCCTTTGGGCCTAAAAGGAACGTTGCACAATACCATCTATAGATGTACTTTTTGGGCCCTTTGGGCTACAAAGGAACTTGAGAGGGGGAACACGAAAGGTAGGTAAGCAAGAAAGGAACCGAAGAAAAAATGAAGGGGAGAGGGCAGGGAAAAAAACATAAAGTGGAGTCTGGTAAAAGCGACGCGGCCATTTTTTTCTAAAAATATGAAGTGGAGTCTGGTAAAAGCGACTGAAAGGCTTCGGCGGTGTGGTTGGGGTTGGTGGTGGCTGTGGTGTTGGTGGTGTTGGTGGTGCTGGTGGTGTTGGTGTTGTTGGTGTTGTTGGTATTGGTGTTGTTGGTGTCGTTGGTGGTGGTAGTGTTTCTGGTGTTGTTAGTGTTGTTGGTGTGGTTGGGTTTGTTGGTGGTGTTGGTGTTGTTGGTCGTGTTGTTGGTGTTGGTATTGTTTGTGTGTTTGTGTTGTTGTTGTTGTTGTTGCTGTTGCTGTTGTTGCTGCTGCTGCTGTGGTGTTGTTGTTGTTGTTGTTGTTGTTGTTGTTGTTGTTGTTGTTGTTGTTGTTGTTGTTGTTGTTGTTGTTGTTGTTGTTGTTGTTGTTGTTGTTGTGTGTTGTTGTGTGTTGTTGTGTGTTGTTGTGTGTTGTTGTGTGTTGTTGTGTGTTGTTGTGTGTTGTTGTGTGTTGTTGTGTGTTGTTGTTGTTGTGTTGTTGTGTGTTGTTGTGTGTTGTTGTGTGTTGTTGTGTGTTGTTGTGTGTTGTTGTGTGTTGTTGTGTGTTGTTGTGTGTTGTGGTGTGTTGTGGTGTGTTGTGGTGTGTTGTTGTGTGTTGTGGTGTGTTGTTGTGTGTTGTTGTGTGTTGTTGTGTGTGTTGTGGTGTGTTGTGGTGTGTTGTTGCGTGTTGTTTGTGTTGTTGTGTGTGTTGTTGTGTGTTGTTGTGTGTTGTTGTGTGTTGTTGTTGCATTGTTGTGTGTTGCGTGTGTTGTTGTGTGTTGTTGTGTGTTGTTGGTGTGTTGTGGTGTGTTGTTGTGTGTGTGTGTTGTTGTGTGTGGTTGTGTGTGTGTTGTTGTGTGTTGTTGTGTGTTGTTGTGTGTTGTTGTGTGTGTTGTGTGTGTTGTTGTGTGTTGTGTGTGTGTTGTGTGTTTTGTGTGTTGTGCGTTGTGCGTTGTGCGTTGTGCGTTGTGCATTGTGCGTTGTGCGTTGTGCATTGTGCATTGTGCGTTGTGTGTTGGTGTTGTTGTTGTTGTTGCTGTTGCTGTTGTTGCTGCTGCTGCTGTTGATGCTGCTGTTCTGAGTTGTTGTTGAAGTTGTTGTTGTTTGTTGTTTTGATGTTTGTTGTTGTTGTTGTTGTTGCTGTTGCTGTTGTTGCTGCTGCTGCTGTTGATGGTGTTGTTGTTGTTGTTGTTGTTGTTGTGGTTGTGGTGTGTTGTTGTGTGTTGTTGTGTGTTGTTGTGTGTTGTTGTGTGTTGTTGTGTGTTGTTGTGTGTTGTTGTGTGTTGTTTGGTGTGTGGTG